GGAAGTAAGTCCCTCAGGTCCTCTCCTGCTTCCCAACTTAATTTGAATATGAAATGCATTTTTCATTCCCATGAATGTAGTTCTTTTGGGTGTAATCTTGCTTGTTTCTTGGTAAGTTTAAATATATGGGAAAGTCAAATTTGCATAAAAGACTTTTCACATAACAAACAGACCTGTTGCAAAAATTGAGTCCTTTGTGTGGAGATTGACTGTACTTTTGATTTCTGAATGCATTTCAAATTTCCAGTTTTGTCTATGGTTCACATATTGCAATCCATTCTTGAACTTTGATCTCATAATTCAATGGGCATTTCTCAAAATTGAATCAGAGCCCTTTTTTCTTCTTGTTGGAATAATTGTTTTAAAATGTTCTGACTCTGGTTTGTAGAATTTCCTTGCTGATCTTATTAAATGTTGTGCTTTTTTATTTATTTTGCGCAGTGAGGCGAAACATCGGGGCGTTTGCTGTGCCAGATTATGTGCAAAACGCACCTGCTCTGCCAAAAACCAGGTCAGGCAAAATCATGCGACGGATTTTGCGAAGCATTGTCTCTGGCTCCACCAACTTTGGTGACTTGTCAACCCTGGCTGAAACCGGAATCATCGACATTTTATGGAATAACAAGCTCATTTGAACGAAGGAAAAATATCAAATACTGAAATACTGCGTGTACAAAAACCACCCTTTGATTTTTTTTTAATGCATCAATGTCAATTTTAATGACACTTCTTGTTTTTAATGACAGATATTCACAATCTCTGGGATGGAAAAGTTGGAGGAAGAAGAGTTCGTTTTAACGGGATATTTTGATTGGACGGTTTGAAAAAAGGGTGGGTTCCATGGGGTAAAGCAAAAGAATTTAGCACTTTATTCGTGATATACTCAATTTGATAATTATTTCATGTAGCTTTATTTATTTGGTCGGCGTCCTTTATTTCTTCATCATAGAGGCGTCCTCAGTACCGAATTGTGAATTTGAAAACACCCGGTGACTGATTTGTACTCAAAAGTACTCATTTGCAAAATGCTTCACGAGTGGGAGCTTGGGGCACTTGAAATGTACATGATTTTGGAAAAACGCCAAGAATAATTCCAGTCTGAAATCACAAGTTCCTGATGCATTTTATATCAGGTACAGTATGATGAAGAGGAAAACCATGATCCATTTTTTTCGTTGTAAGGATTGTTGATTGTGCCAAAATTAAGCAAACTCAATAATTGTAATCCACACATATATTAACTGAAATTTGGTCTTACTCATCATCGATGCATGAGAAAAATACTTTTTGGTATTCAGCATTAATTTCTTGAAAAATCATGATTGTGGTTGCAAATTATTTTGGGTAAAACATTTCCTCACAAAGTTTGATTGAAATTCTTAATCCAATGTTCTGTATAGGGATTACATATAGGATAATCAAATGTGGCACTTCCCTGTCCATGCTGAGACAGAGTCAGTAACTCAATGATCCATATTCTGTAACATTTTAAATAATATACACAACCAATTCAATGAACATTGTCAATGATCAAAAATCATGCCTGGAAAAAAATTATGTTGTACTTTGAACTTTGAAATTTTTTTTCAAGAATGATTGCTCCATATATAAAGGCATGCCTATATACAGTACAGTGGTACCATGCATAAAACCCTCCCCCCCCCCCCCTAGTATGAATGTTCTGCTGAATGAACGTTTTTTTGGGGGGGGGGGGGGAAGCCCCCTTGCAGTAAAAACCAATTTTGTACATCAAACAATTGTGAATGTTCATCCGTTTTTTGTAGTACAAATTTTATACTAAAAATAAGGTTTTTTTGCACTACCAGAAAAGTTCTGTGTTCTGAGACAAGCTTTTTTTTTCTTGGTGCTCCAGACAAATTGAATGATTTCCCATGCAAGTCTATAGGAAATCATGACTTGCATTGCACCACCCTTCCCCCCAAATTGAATAATTGCATAATTTATATTTTTTATATCACTGTCCAAGTCTTTTTTATTGTGAGTTGAGCAGAACCAACTGCATATTCGTATTTATTGCTGAGTGGATTGGTGTGATGACTCTCATCAGTTTCTTTATTTAACCCTTGGATGGCAGAGGATTCTTTCTCACTGTGTGGCAGGGTTGGGATTTTCCTGGGGGGTGGCGCATTTCAGTTTGAACCAAGGTTACTGAAATGCACCCAGGTTCAAGAGGCCTAAGTTGGGAAAAATCCAGGAGGCAAACTTTCTTTTGTTTTTGCAAGATTTTCCCATGCAAATCCTATGCCAGGAATGCAGGAAAAAACACCAGCCAGCAAAAGATTTTTTTAATGAAAATTTTCTGGAGGATTAGAAAAAATCTGAGACTTTTCCCAGACTTAGCCCTTGGTAAGAAAGTAGTTTTTTTTTATTCCCAGTGCTCAGTGGCACAAAATTTGGCAAAAATATCCCAACTTTACTGCACAAGGGTTAATTACTTCAATTGATTCTAACTTATTCATTTTCTTGTTTGTTATTCCATCAAGTGAAATTTCATTTCAACAAAGCCGTTATAGGACCAGTAAAATAACTGGAGTACATAAATTTTTTCATACAGGAAATGTGTTAACAGTTCAACTACATACTGATCATGGATATGAAACATGACATTGTTGTAATTTATTATTCCTTATAACAAGATCCGCTGTGACGAGATTCATCTGTTTCTAACATGTTTTCTGCATTATTTCACGTACAATCAAAGTCTTCCCCAGATTCCAAAACGAAATGTTACTTCTTCTAGCATTTCAAACAGCAATTCAATAATTTCACACTTACATCCTAAACGTCGGAGTGGAAAATTATTTTCAACATTCAGATTCTTAAATTTGGGCGCGATACAGTTTATGTTCATAAGCTCATCACACTGCATGAAAACACAACTTTCCGAAACGTATTATATTTTCATTTCACAAAAATGTATACAACTGACAAAGAACTGGATTAATTTCGCATGTCATTCAAAGGACAAAGCACTTCTAAACGTCAGTAACTGACATTCACGCATCGTAAACAAAATATAGGCAACAGCAAAATAAAGAAAAGCCTTCTTTTTCCCGCTCTTGCAACGTGGAACATCCACGATTTTTAGTGGAACAGCACCATCCAAAACACCACATGACTCAAATTTTGTTGTCCTCACGGTAATTTCTTGTAAAATCTCTCATGAACAAGAGCAGGTAATGACAGACACACTTTCAATTTCTTCTTCACTCGGGTTTTCCAAAAAAAAAAAGAAAGAAAATTCGCGATGGTTCCAGGTTACATTAAAATCCAAAAAGAATTCTGAAATACATTAATAGCAACTAAATTTCGTCTTCATGAGCTAATGAACATTTAATCTATAAATTAAAAAAAGTAGCAGCGAATTTCAGTTACTCTTTATTTGAAAGAATTCAAGTTCACCTCAAAGTTTGACCACAAAAAGAGCAAAATAATTAATTTAGCGAGTCGTGCGAATGGAACAATAATAAAAGCACATGAAAAAAGAATTAATTCCTCAGTTTGGCAGAAAAAAAATTAAGCCGAACTCGGTTCGAATTTCAGACCAAGTCGAGATAATTATTATAGCTACAGTATTTGATGATAAACTCAGATCGCAGTTCCTCAAAAAAATGTCATCGAAAATATTTCTCATGACGTATTTTTTCTTACTGCGAACACTTCATATGATGCTTAAAGCTGAATAAAAAACTGATCAGTTTTGCAGGAATTCAGAGATTCATGGTAAATTTCAGCCTTGATTTTGCTGATCAGTACACAGTCATTAATTCTTCTATACTGCAACTTTAATTATAGAGAAATCTAGAATTTTTAGCTGGCACTACTGAGGAACATGCTCTAGAAACAAAAACTTACTTCATTTCACAGGAAAATGTTAGAAAAGATTTGTCAGATTCATGAGGAAACACAGCAGTACAATAAAATCGCTGGTCATTTTCTCAAATTTCAGTTTTGAGTCATCAGAAAGCAGTCATATTTTTTTTTTAATTTTCATGCAGTTCTGCAAAAATCAGAAATAATTTTCGCAGTCCACAGCTGAAGAAATGAGCTTCGAAAATCAAGAAAAAAAAAGTGATAAGAAGCCAATTTTTTAAAGAACAACAAAAACTACTGGACCAGAAATGAAGAGCCTCTCTGTCTCTCAAAACCTGCTGTACAAGCCTTAGCGCAATCACAAAAAAAAAAAAAGCACTAGTGATTTCCTTGTTAGACCAGAATTCCTTTCAGGTTAGCTGCCATGCTTAGGGCAAAAGACGACGACGACGACGATGACGGTAGTGGTGGTGAACAACCTCCGTCTCTCAAACTCCGTCGCGTCGCTGCTGCTGCTGCTGGGCAGCCATGATGCGGTGCTCCAGGCCAGCCAACGGGCCCTCTGGCCCATCATCATCCTCCGTCAGCTGATTCTGCCATTGTTGATGGTGGTGGTGACGGCTGCTGCTGCTGGTCGCCATCGTCGACGCCGCCATCATCGACGTCACGTGCTGCTGCTGCTGCTGCTGGCGTCGATCGTCCGACATGACGGCGTAACTGCTCTGTCGGTGCTGACGATGATGGTGGCCATTTCGTTGCTGCTGCTGCTGATGATGATGGTGATGATGATGGTGGTGATGATCGTCCCAAGACGAGTTGTTTTCTTCTTCATCGTCGCCTTCTTCCTCTTCGACGTCGTCTTCGAAGTCCGACGGCAAAGCGCGGCTTTTGCTGCTCGCGCCGTCCGTGTCGTCGACGACGTAGAACTCGCGACGCTGGGCCAGCTCGGTGTACTCGGACGTGGACCGCTCGGCCATGCTGCGGGCCACGTGGCGGCCACTGCGGCTGCTGCTCATGGCAGGACCGACGCCGGACGTCGTTTCGCTCTGCGAGTCGGTGGCACGCATCATGCGATGATGATCATTCACCTGTCATTTTGGGAATGACGAAAGAAAAATTTAGAATTTATACACTGCACTTCATTACTGAGCACCTTACATCACCAGAGCACCTTCTCTTCTTATATGTCCAGCATTTCATTCTGATAGAAACAAGCTTAAGAAAGATTTACAAGTATTGGAATTCAATGAAGAGACCCTTTTTGAACTCTTAGAAGGATCAAGATAAACTGTTTTCATCATATGATTTCTCATCAAAGATTCTCTCTAATTTCTTCTTTCAACTAAACCTCATACAGAAACAAGCTGAAGANACTGTTTTCATCATATGATTTCTCATCAAAGATTCTCTCTAATTTCTTCTTTCAACTAAACCTCATACAGAAACAAGCTGAAGACCTTGTGCTTTAAATCAATTTTTACATATATTTTGTTTCCAATGTCAGGGAATGAATGGGTGTATGCATACATGTCAGATGTCCAGTTGTATTTCATGGATTGTATTTTCTTTAATTTTGTTAACAATTTGTGCTCAGTTTCCTGCTCTGAAGTGATTAAATGCCATTGAGTGGATTTGGGTTGGGTAGGAAGGGGGTTTGGTTGAGGAAATCTTGATTGAACCTTGTGAACGCTGAAAAGCGGCAAATAAAGTGTTCTCTTCATTCATTCATTCATTACTGCATTTGAAAAATGCTTGGCCCAAAAATAATTCAGCGCGTATTTCTAACATTGCTTAACACTTTTTGAAGAAAATACATCATCTCCCAAAAGTCCCAAATGATGCTTTTGACATGAAGTTTTTTTCATATTGTAAAAAGTTTTTTTCAGTATGCAGTCAAATCTTGTTACAACAAATACAGTTACAACAAATTTGTCAATATGACAAACTTTTTCGAGGTTCTGGCAGCAATCCAAGAGGGTATATGATCAAAGAATCTTGTTCCAACAAACTAGCCAATTCCAGTATAAAAAACTTTTTTGAGGAATGTGGTTTGATTTCCTAATGAGAAATACCCAACTAAAGCAGGCACAGTCTCAAATTGCCCATTCAAAATGTGACTGCAACTGGTTCTTGGGAAATAGGGTGGAATCAAGGACTAAAATTCTTTACAATTCACCTGAAGATCCCCTCTTTCAAAAATATATTCTTGGGCAAGGAAAGATCTGGGGGAGATAAACAAAAATGAACCCAACAAAACTCATGTTAAAAGGGGTTTGTACATGCTTGAGAAACCCTACTGATTCTGAAAAATTTTAAGCTTTTTTGGAACATCCACCCTTACAAATCTGTGCTTTAGAAAAATTTGGTTAACATCAAGTGCTATAGTGTTCACTCATTATTCAGAGTAAGTATTTAGGGAGGTTTTTAATGACGGGGGTTTTTAAGAAGGTTTGAGATAGGGAGGTTTTTAATGCATTATTTCTAAAGAAATTCAGACAGGGACTCAAAAAAAATTTGACTTTGGAAGGTATTTGACTTAGAGAGAAAATCGAGAGTTACAAAATTTCAGGACATATATACTGTACTCCCAAATGAGAAACAAAAATCAAAATTTTGAATTTGGTCCAAAAAGGGAAATTAAAATCTTGAGGAAATTCGAATTTTTTTTACCTCTAATTTTGCATGGTTTTAATAATTCTTCATTAAACCCTAAAAATTCATAGTTTATCATTTGAATTCCTGCCACTTTTCGAATTTTTTGCTCATTTTCCTTATATTATCTTCTCAATGGTTTTTTAAAAATACAACTTGAAATAAATACAACTTGAATTTTAAATACAATTGAAAGATTTTCCATCTTTTATTGAAACCAATTGAAAGATTTTCCAAGGGTTACTATCCATTCAATGTTCAGTATTACGTGCGTTGCTCAAGGTCGCACCATAGTATGTTCTATTATGCGCAGCATTAATTTGGGACAATTCCTGTAAGTCTATACTTTTCATTTCACTGAGCAATGAGTAAGATGAGAGATTTACCATATCTACTCTGAAGTAACATGAGCCCCTGCTGGGAAAGACAGTTATGAATCTCAACTTCTCGACTAAAAATTTGTCACGAAAAAAGTGTCCCTTCCCGTCAATCCACCATAGGAATATCTCGTTACGACCAATAATTCACTTCAACAAAATCCTTCATAGCAGAATATTCCCCCATTGAGCTGAAAATTGAGCTGCAATAACCAATCGGTTACTGTTAGGGTATCCGAGTCGACGTTTCATTTCACTAAACGTCCCGATTCAACTCTACAGTCGATGATTCGGGCGACACCTAGATTGACTGCAGACGTTCCAAAGGAAGCTTCCATAAATCACAGTAAAAATACTCGTACAGTATAAAATCGCGAGAAAAAAAAATAACGCATTAATTTCTACAGTACTGTAATGTACAGTATTACCATTTCTTCAGTGACGGATCGCACGTCTCCCTTGCTGGACTGCCGCGAAACCCCGCGCATCAATTGACCAGCCACAGCAGCGGTGGCAGCGACACCTGGACTTCGGATACGATTCGCAGCACCGAGTCTTGGCAAAGCGCCGCTAGAGATCGTTGTTGGTCGTATCGGCTCCTCGTCCTCGTCGTGCAGCATCACCATGCCTTCATTATCATACGCTTCGTAACTCATTCGCCGTCTCATTGTCGCCGCTGAATGATGATGATGATGTGCATCGTCGACATCGTCATAACCGAAAGGATCCCGCAATGGGGCTTGGCGAGGTCGCATTAACGTTGTATCGTTGTTGTGGCCGCCGAATGTGGATGCCTGGGTGGCGCTGGTGTTGGCGTTGGAGAGCAGGGATGAGGCGGAGGACGCGGAAGACTGGCGTCTGCCGCCACCGGCGCCTTCGGGCTCCTCCGGGGGGCTCAGGACACGGATGATGACGTCCCACTTGTGTGGCTCAAACAGCTTCATGTACCTGTTATTATCCCGAGACAGAGAATGGAACATCATGCAGTGACTATACTGTATATACAGTGTGGATCAAAAAAGAAGCGAACCTTCGTTTTTTGGCTTACAATAGCTTGGTAGCAAATTGAGCTGTGGCAATAAAAAAGACAGGGACTTCGAAAATTCACATAGCAAGGTTCATTATTCAACTTTCGGATGTTTGAGTTACAAAAGTTCATCTGTATATAGAAATACAATATAAAAATAGGAAATTTCAGCATAAAATTATTCCGCATGGCTTTATCTATTATGAAATAGATCAAGTGGCCTAAAAATTCTTTAAAGAGGCCTATTTTGTCAACAGTATTGAGACACTCTCCACTGAAATGTCTTCTCATACAATATCCTCAATTTATTGCCACCCTAGCTGGTTACACTGCAACTAAATGTGCCAGGACAAATGGCACTAAATTGAAGTTTGACTGTAAAAAAGGTTATCTGTTCTGATGAGAAAATACAATTCTCACAATCAAAAAAAAAAGAAATAGCCCAAGCAATAATTCATTTGTCCAATACTGTACGGTAATATGCATGTCAAAAACGATCAGCGGTTGAGTAAATTACAAATCCGACATTTCGAAATACGAGAAAGCGGAGGAAAATCCAAGCCGCACTTTCGCAAAAATCTAAATTATCTATGAAATATGGTGTTTAAAATAATGTCGATGTGTGCTGGTGCGGTGTGGGAGTGGAGACTAGTACTGCCTAAAACAGTTTCAGGAGGAAGTGTCACCGGAGCCACTCGTCGCAAGAGTTTCACCTGAGACATCATTAGATTTGCCTCAGCTTTTCCTTGTCCTCCTTGGACAACAATCTGCGCAAGGTCCGTTCTTGGTGTATTTCCTCGTCACTTGGCTCACCCTGCGTGGAGGTGGCTGTGGTTCCAGTGCGGACACTCGCTGTGTCGTCCATAGATGTCGCTCGCTGCGCCAAGGGAACAGGGCTGAGAACCCTAATGAGCACATCCCAATTCGGGGCTCTTTGCTCGCTTTGCAATGGGACCTGGAGCTCCGTGAGGTGATGCTCACTACGTCTCGTCACCTGTTGTTCTCGCTCATCTTGCAGCATCACTGTTCGTGTTGTCTCTGCATGATGAATATGCATGCAACATGAGATATTGAATAGAGTAGAAATCTTGTTACAACAAAGCATGCATATATAGAACCTTAAAAGAGCTTCATTTTATAGACACATATTCTTTAAAATAAAAATTGAAATAGGATGGTGGTTATTGGACAGAGACTTGAAAAAAACAAATTCGTTGTAAGCATTGAATTTTTAATATTAAAATTAGTTCAAATGAGATTACACTATGCAGTAGAAGCTTGCTTGCAAAAAACTTTTTGAGACTTCAGAAAAAGTTTGTTATACAGAATATAACAATATTTTCAAAATTTAAGACTGGAAAACATTTTCACATCACACCTACCTACAATCAATTATATCTTGCTTTTCTGGCATTCTCACATTTTTATCTATTTGTTGAAAAACTGAGTCTAAAAGATTTTTTTTTAATCGAAGTTTTTAAGTAAAACAGTCAACGTGGTTAAAGAAGTAATAGTCTCCTACTACACACCTTGGTGAACCTTTGTACAAAGAATAACTACTTTCGAAGGTAGGTACTTTTACAAGAACCAGTCAGTCAAATTTGAGATTGGAAATTTCAGACTGCGCCTGCCTTAGTCAGGAAATTTCTACCAGGAGAATCTATCAAACATTTCTTAAAAAGTGTATTGTACTGGAATTGGGAAGTTTTTCATAAGAAAATTGTTTTTAACAAATACTCTATAATATGCTTGCTGCCAGGATTTGAGAAAAAAGGTGCACATAAAGTACTCACAATGTTGTTGTGATGTTATTTGTTGTGATGAGATTTCACTGAACATGGATCAACAAGTCAATAACTGCCTAATTACAGTGCAATGAATACTGTACAAACAACTTGATTTTGGGCAAAAACTCAGCAGATATTAACCCATTAAATTCCAAATTGACTACACACCCATTTTTGCTTTATTTCACTTCATTTACATTTAGACAGGCTGGGGACAATTTTTAACATTTACAATTCAAAATATTGTCAAATATTTGAATTTTGTCATCGATAACTTTATTGCGTTCCCTTTTCATCCCCTTTCACCTAGCAGACGACGCTCAGAATAAAGTCACGTCGTCTGTCTCACGGTTCCGCCGCGTGATCTCCTGCAAGTCACGCGCTACAAGGTTACGCAACCTCACCTAGAATGAGGTCAGATCCGGGTCTGACCATTATTACCCAACTTTACTTGACCGAATCTATATAGCCGCCTGCTCTCTGTTGATCGCGCGCTCATTGCTGTCCGAAGTTTGTTGCGTATAGTATCTCTACTGTTGAACACGGAATAAAGCTCACTTACCCATTTTGATATAAGAGGAGTTGAATTTACTTTGCCCGGCAACAAGGATCAAGAAATCTCCTCTCAAAGAATTGTCTAATTTAGTTTAGAATATAACTTGCGACGGTAAGTTATACGATTGGAAGATCCAGAGACGTCCGGATTTTAAAGATTGTAGAAGATCAAAAATAAACTAATTTACGACAACAAAATACATTCTTGGAGCTGGATCATCTAGCTTCAAAGAATTACAATAAACTGTAATTTTAACAGTTACAGTGGTACCTTGTAGAACAAACACCTCATACAACGAACGTTCCACATAAAAAGCATTTTTTTTCTCAAAAATCCGCCAATTTTTGCTCCACAGAACAAACCAAATTCACATAACAAACTTTTTTTTTCCTGAAAAATTGGAAAAATTTGAAAATTTTTTAAATATTCAATTATTGCTTTAAAAAATTGAAAAAAATTACACAATTAATATTTGATGGGAAAGAAAAAAATGTTATTGAACACAGAAATTTGTTTGAATCAGCAATCCCAAAAATGCATTAAAAATCCAGCTGAACCTTGTGCCACTTTCTGAGGACTATTTTCTTCATCAGATTGAAATTTATTAAAACAGTGCATCTAAGGGGTTTCTGCTAAAAAGNATACAATATCCTCAATTTATTGCCACCCTAGCTGGTTACACTGCAACTAAATGTGCCAGGACAAATGGCACTAAATTGAAGTTTGACTGTAAAAAAGGTTATCTGTTCTGATGAGAAAATACAATTCTCACAATCAAAAAAAAAAGAAATAGCCCAAGCAATAATTCATTTGTCCAATACTGTACGGTAATATGCATGTCAAAAACGATCAGCGGTTGAGTAAATTACAAATCCGACATTTCGAAATACGAGAAAGCGGAGGAAAATCCAAGCCGCACTTTCGCAAAAATCTAAATTATCTATGAAATATGCACAAATTTTATTACAGCTACACACGACCACGCCACACCCTCACCTCTGATCATGACGGATTTTGTCAAAGTCCTCCTTCACAGTGGCCTCGGTGAGCAGCGTTCTCAAAGTGGACTCTGTAGTAATGATTTGCCTCAGCTTTTCCTTGTCCTCCTTGGACAACAATCTCCGCAAGGTCCGTTCTTGGTGTATTTCTTCGTCACTTGGCTCACCCTGCGTGGAGGTGGCTGTGGTCCCAGTGCGGACACTCGCTGTGTCGTCCATAGATGTCGCTCGCTGCGCCAAGGGAACAGGGCTTAGAACCCTAATGAGCACATCCCAATTCGGGGCTCTTTGCTCGCTTTGCAATGGGACCTGGAGCTCCGTGAGGTGATGCTCACTACGTCTCGTCACCTGTTGTTCTCGCTCATCTTGCAGCATCACTGTTCGTGTTGTCTCTGCATGATGAATATGCATGCAACATGAGATATTGAATAGAGTAGAAATCTTGTTACAACAAAGCATGCATATATAGAACCTTAAAAGAGCTTCATTTTATAGACACATATTCTTTAAAATAAAAATTGAAATAGGATGGTGGTTATTGGACAGAGACTTGAAAAAAACAAATTCGTTGTAAGCATTGAATTTTTAATATTAAAATTAGTTCAAATGAGATTACACTATGCAGTAGAAGCTTGCTTGCAAAAAACTTTTTGAGACTTCAGAAAAAGTTTGTTATACAGAATATAACAATATTTTCAAAATTTAAGACTGGAAAACATTTTCACATCACACCTACCTACAATCAATTATATCTTGCTTTTCTGGCATTCTCACATTTTTATCTATTTGTTGAAAAACTGAGTGATTTTCTAAAAAAAAATTAGCTTCAAAAATTCATTTTGTCAGTTGCACCAATTTCTTCATTATCAGAGGATGATGTGTGGAACCACTTGGAAACATGTTTCTTATTGATGAAAGCTTCCATCCATGCTATACAAGAACCGGTCAGTCAAATTTGAGATTGGAAATTTCAGACTGCGCCTGCCTTAGTCAGGAAATTTCTACCAGGAGAATCTATCAAACATTCCTTGAGAAAGTGTATTGTACTGGAATTGGGAAGGTTTTCATAAGAAAATCATTTTAAACATATACTCTATGGGCTTGCTGCCAGGATTTGAGAAAAAAGGTTCTCATAAAGTACTCGCAATGTTATTGTAATGTTATTTGTTGTGATGAGGTTTTACTGAACATGGATCAACAAGTCAATAACTGCCTTAATTACAGTGCAATGAATACTGTACAAACAACTTGATTGTGGACAAAAACTCAGCAGATATTAACCCATTACATTCCAAATTTACTACACACCCCTTTTAGCTTTATTTCACTTCATTTACATTTAGACAGGCTGGGGACAATTTTTAACATTTAAAATTCAAAATATTGTCAAATATTTGAATTTCAAACTTGATCCGCAAATGGGGCTCACAGCAGGTACCATCTTCTTTTATACCAATAAGAAAAGTTTTCTATACATCAGAACAAAATTTCTGGCATTTTTTTTACTAAATTGTATCATTATAATAATTTCAAACTTGATCCGCAAATGGGGCTCACAGCAGGTACCATCTTCTTTTATACCAATAAGAAAAGTTTTCTATACATCAGAACAAAATTTCTGGCATTTTTTTTACTAAATTGTATCATTATAAGCTAAATTTGAGTGCAAACATATCTTCTTATACATTTGTGATGCTATAGAATGCCATTAGGAATGCAATGCATGAATATTTTTTTATGATTTTTCAAACATTTTTTTATGATTTTCCAAAAAGCACCTGAGTCCCAAATGGGGCCCATGGCAGGTATTGGGTTAAGCTCAAGTATAAAGCACATATAAAATCAAGCCATAGAGGACATGAGTTATTGGTTGAAAATAATAAATAAATGTAACTTCAAAATTAGAAGTATTTCTAGAATGAAGGGGAAAAAAAAGCTAACCATGATGAGCTGTAGTGAGCTCATTATACCCTCTGGAATCAGCCGTCGTACTAGCAGTTGTCCTTCTGCTTCTCATCCTGGCCACGTCATCAGCATCCACCATGAGTTCGTGGTCGGCATGCAGCATTTGCTGATGATCAGTAGTGGCTGTGACCACAGAACTGGCGGCATCATCACTGCTGCTCGCCCGACTAAAGAACCAAATAAACGCAAAAATCTGGTCAAAACACAATTCTACGGTGATCATGGTAAAGTTTTTACGGCGACAAAAAGTTCGTGAAATTCAAGAAAAAATATTATTTGACTGAAGAAAAAATATGAACTTGAATATCTCGTCAAAAACAAAATTATATAGAGATCATTATGTTTTTTACGTTGACCAAAAGTTCCTGAAATTTTAGAAAATTATCATTCGTGTGAAGAAAAAAAATGAATGTTATTAAAATATCATCAAAAACAAAATTCTACAGATATCATAAACATATTTTTCATGGGGAAAAGTTTGTGAAATTTTGGGAAAGTATAATTTGATTGAAGAGAAAATATGAATGCAAAAATCTCGCCAATAACACAATTTTACAAAGGTCATTAAAATTTTCGTCATGGGGAACCGTTCGTGAAAGTTCAGGCAAATACACTTTTAAAAATTACTAAATCTGTTTCATTGATTATTTTATAAATAAAAAATAATACAGTGGGTTCCTTCTGAAGAATGACTCACATGACAAAAATCCAACAAACGAAACGTTTTTCGGGGTCTTTCATAAAGTCTTCCAACTCTTCTGGGACGTATTACAAGTTTTTGATGCATAAGTTGCGGGAAATTTATTTTACAATAATAAGTTTTCCACAGTAAAATTGTTGCTTGAGANACTTCAAAATTAGAAGTATTTCTAGAATGAAGGGGAAAAAAAAGCTAACCATGATGAGCTGTAGTGAGCTCATTATACCCTCTGGAATCAGCCGTCGTACTAGCAGTTGTCCTTCTGCTTCTCATCCTGGCCACGTCATCAGCATTCACCATGAGTTCGTGGTCAGCATGCAGCATTTGCTGATGATCAGTAGTGGCTGTGACCACAGAACTGGCGGCATCATCACTGCTGCTCGCCCGACTAAAGAACCAAATAAACGCAAAAATCTGGTCAAAACTAAATTCTACGGTGATCATGGTAAAGTTTTTACGGCGACAAAAAGTTCGTGAAATTCAAGAAAAAATATTATTTGACTGAAGAAAAAATATGAACTTGAATATCTCGTCAAAAACAAAATTATATAGAGATCATTATGTTTTTTACGTTGACCAAAAGTTCCTGAAATTTTAGAAAATTATCATTCGTGTGAAGAAAAAAAATGAATGTTATTAAAATATCATCAAAAACAAAATTCTACAGATATCATCAACATATTTGTCATGGGGAAAAAGTTCGTGAAATTTTGGAAAAGAATAATTTGATTGAAGAGAAAATATGAATGCAAAAATATCGCCAATAACACAATTTTACAAAGGTCATTAAAATTTTTGTCATGGGGAACCGTTCGTGAAAGTTTAGGCAAATACACTTTTAAAAATTACTAAATCTGTTTCATTGATTATTTTATAAATAAAAAAATAATACAGTGGGTTCCTTCTGAAGAATGACTCACATGACAAAAATCCAACAAACGACTGCAAAAAGCCCCAGAAAGTATTTCAGAAGGTTGAGAAGACCCTGCATAATGTTCAAAAACTACGTATTCAACGCCCTTTAAATAAAATGTTATTATTCAAAAGGTGTCATTTTAACAACGAACTCTAGATTATTCCACACTAAGCGAAGTTCAAGAAACATTAAAGTAGCTTTTTCTTAATTTCAAATATTTAATGCAATCAAAGAAGCCTCTTATTCTCATATTTCCACAGACAAATTTGTTTCCGTTTCTGACGCAAAAAAAAAATCGAGAAGGGTCTTACACTTTATAATAGTCTAGTAAAATTTTATTCCCCAATCTGAGCGCGGCGTACGAGCCACAAAGAAAAATTTAGAAGTCCGCAAAACAATGGAGGTTGAAATTATTTGATGAAAAATAAAACTCGGACTTTCTCCTAATAACGCTTCAGATAAATTTTCACCTGCTGAGATAAGTTACTTTATTTTTTTCAATCTCAGAAGTATTTCTTCAAGCCCGCCCAAATTTCTGCTTCTTTGATGACATTCAACTAAAAGCTGTTTCATTGGTGCTCTACTTAATTTGAAAAAAATGTCACTAATGCACGAGCCTTTCAAGCAAAACTTTTTTGAGTGTGCAAACATTTTATGAAACTTTGCCAGTCCGCAAATACCTTTTTTAGGAATTTTGGGTCCACAAAGAAATTCATAGAAATTTGCCAATCCGCAGGCCCAAGAAAGTTGGGGAACACTGGTCTAGTGAATATCGAAAAATAACCATTCAGAAATTTTTCAGAAGCAAACAGCGTACAGTACGTTTTTAATGACCATCAGAACCACAGGAGTACAGTCGAGATAAAAGAAGAGAAAGTCTAGCCTTTTTTAGCAGAAAAAACCCAATATCGGATAAAAAACCCGTCTTTCCTCATTTCTTTATATTTTTGAATTATCCAAAAAAAAATGCAGACCTGGTAGTGGTGGTAGTTCTGCCGGGCCGAGGCGCCGGATAATTGCGGATGACGATGTCCCAGTCCCTCGGCGGCGGCGGTGGCGGTCGTCGCAACAACTCCGTCACTTCCCGCGTGTGTCTCGTGACGTCCTCAAACACGTCCGTCTCCGTGATGTTGCTCACGTAGCGGTCGTCCACGACGACCTGAGTCGACACCGGGGCCGGTGGCGGCAGTTCCTGCCGGTGCACCAACGCAGTCGTCGTCGTCGTCACTTCCGGTGCAACCGCCATCTCCGAGTGACACGCAAGGCGACTGCTTCTGGGCGGGTTACTTCCGCGGCTGGCCTGTTTGACGACGAGAACGAAGGCCGCCTGTGCCCCATTAAGCTAGCAGCCCTAGTGGAGCAGCAGCAGCAGCGGACTTATAATTATGTATAATGGGACAAGTTTCATGAAACTTCGATTTATTGCATCTCCTCATGAGTCAATTGAAAAGAATATTTTACGTATTTATTTTAGTAAATCAACATAGCATAAAACTACCCAAAAATCAAACACAAGCTAAAAATCATTCGAGGATCACATCGATCCACATAATTAACTACACAGACAAAACACACAGAAATGAAAGACAAATATCCTGATAAAACAAAAATCGAAGGTTTCAACAACGTTTTCCCAGAGAATTTCTCAAAATAATTTTTTCCGTTTCATCGGTATATATGACATTGAAGAAAAACTCAAGTGGAGAAAAACTGAAACAAGTTCCATGATCAGAATTTCATTTTACAGGAATAAGATAGAAAAAACTAAACAAAATTAAGGGTAATCTTCCGAGAAGATTTACACACATAAAATTCAGTTTTTTCAAAAATCCATTAATAATGTACACAAAATTATAAGAAAAAAACAATGTAGTAAATGAACTCGGCTAAGGCTTCCAGAATCAGAATCATAAAAGAAAAACGAGAAACAACAATACTGAAACGTTCCTCTTCAATTTTTGAGAAACGAAAATACAGATGACACGAATGTCGTCGAGTGTTAAAAACTTTTTCCTTCCATTTTATACAGGAAATTAAGTGCAATGAATCATATCAAGAGGGTGAATAACACGAAAACATTACGCAGGTGAATATTCGACATTTCAATCAATTTTGATCTGCAATGATAATTATGAAAACAAAAACTTGAACGTTATTCTGATGATGTATCATCTTTAATTATTAAAACAAAAACAAAAAATAGAAAACCGGACGAAATGAATGTCATCGAGTGTCAAAAGAGGGTTTCTTATGATATTATTTTTCACGCAACAACAAATCAAATTTAAATGCATCTGAGAGTTGAAAAAAAAAATTACACAGAAGATCCTTCATCATTATTCGACTGTTCTTCAAATTTTCATTTGCAATTAATATAATTATATATTTTTTTCAATCAATCAACAACACACAAGAAATAATTGAGCCCGCAGATAATTTCTCCCTCGCATCGTCAACTAGCTGACCTTCGAGGATCGTCGTGAGGGATCTCTCGGCGTCACTCATCACACTCGTTCGGTCGTCGGCACTCGTCACCGTCGACGGCGGCCCCGGCACTCTCGGCGCCTTCTTAATCCTCACGGCCACATCAAACGCTAGCGGCTTGGCGACCCTCGGCGCCGCCACCAGTTCCTGCTCCATCGCGAAATGCGCATCCGAGTACACGCTGGACAACTCGCTCGGCGGCGCCCGGATCGGCGGCGCCATGACGACCGACGGCGCCGAACTCGGCGACTCGCTCGGGTAATCACTCGGCAGCGAGGACTCGTCATCGTCGTCGTCGAGAACGACGAGATTGGCTTCACTGCCGGACACCGAGGCGGCATGGGCCCGAGGGATGCGGAGTCCGTCGAATGCGGCCCAGGTCGTGTCGGACGCCTTGTTGCTCAGGGCGTCGTCGGCAATGGCGGTCGACGGGGCCGGGCGGAGGACGCGGATGTGGCGGCGCTTGTTGAGGCAGTAGTAGGAGAATCCGATGCCGAGGAGGACCAGGGCCAAGAAGAGCAGTGCGCAGAGGATCAGGAGGATCTCCAACTCGCCTGAAAACAATAAATACCGGTACATTACAGTACTGTTCATTATTCTCGTTACAAAGAAGCCTTTATTGAGAACTCGGGGGAAAAAAGCTTCGTCATAAACAAAAATTCTTTAAAATTAAATTGAAATAGAATTGTGGCTATTGGACAAGAACATAAAAAAATACAGCAAGACCCCCACATGCGGACACATCAACATGCGGGCAATTCAACATAGGGACACTTATTTTCTCATAAAAAATTAATAAAAAAAGGCCCAACATGAGGACACTGACTCAACATAGGGACATTTTTTTATAAAATTGCGAATACATTTTAGGCCAAATTACAAGAAACAGATATTTCCAACCCTAAAATTGAAGTAAGAAAAGTTCTTGGGCATTTCTCTCACCAATTTACCATCCATTTAGCTAATTCAAAAAAATTACCTCCAGCAGAGAGGGACTTCCTTCTCTCTTTTTCACTTGAATATTAATTTTACAGCCAACATTTCTATCTACTGCACAGAGGTATCAGTATTCAATTCCTCAAATGCCCATATTGCGTTGCAATATATTGATTGGCATCAGTTTAAATTGGGAGGCAATTTTTATTTTCATGGAATTATGGTGAATATTTTGTACGTAAAACACCAATCAAAAATTACATAATGTAAGTCTAAAGGAAAATGAGACCTGACTTAGGGACACTCTTGATGCATCAATTACGTCCGCATCTTGGGGTTTCACTGTATACAGAAAATCCTAATTCGACTTGAATATGAACACTGCTTTCTCGCTCGTCCTGTACTTTTATTGCCTGATTGAAACATGCAGGAAGTGGAAAATTCAAATCGAAACACACAAAAAAAGTAGCAGAATAGTAATTTGGGTGGGGTCGCCATTTGCTGCCTTCGCATTTGCGTGGGCAGCTGTAGAATAAGATGGGAAAACCCAAAGGAGTGTCGAATTCTTCGGTGAAGCAAGAGAAAGAAATTTCCAAATGATCACAAATGAGGGTGAAACAACAAATTTCCAGAATATCTGCGAAACGTGTGTTATGACTTATGAGGCATTATTTGCTGAGGAAAAAATTTCATTTTACAATAAAATTTTACGAAGTGATTCGCAATGGCAAAAATCATTTGAAACTGTGGTGTACGAAATTGTGTTCGAATGAGATTACGGTAATATAGAAGTTACGACTTCTTTTTAGCGAAATCCAAGTACTGTACGAAGAAGGAAGCAAAAATATTTCTTAAAAGAAGTTCGTGCTTATTCTTGAAAGAATTATTTTTGCTAGAGTTTCTCGAGGACAAAAATGATCTCTACAGGATTTTCTTATTAAATAAATCCCAGATTTTATTCACCATAACTTTTTTGTCAATGCTAATATGAGTAAATGATTATTCAAATCAGAACACAGAAAACTTGGGAGAAAAAATTATGAAAATTTTAAGGCAATCACCAGCAGAAAGCCTTCCAAAAATTAAATTTGCCTAAATGAACAATGAAAATTCGCTGTGAAAAAATTTCTTTACAACTTTCTTCACATTATTTCTCTGAGAACCTTTGAAAAACATTTCTTAATTACATTGATTTGTGATGACAGAATTATTTTTAAACGTAATTCCGTCACTAGTTTTTTCTCAACTAAGGTGCTTTTGTCAGATATGGATTTTCAAATATTGTCCATCAGTAGAAAAAATATTGTCATAAAGACTACGTAAATAAACATACCCAGGCCAGCAGGAACTGGTGGTGGAGCTGCAGGCGGTGGTGCCACAATTGGCACCACTGGAACCGCCGGAGGCGGTGCTATGGGAGGTGGATACCTACAAATAATGGTCTTCACCTCATCTCCATCAAGTTCCAGACCAGCATGGAAGCGCACAATTATGTTGTTTATGAAAACTCGAGCAGGATCTTGAATGGTTCCACAACCTATTTATTGAAAAAAAAGGATCAATTTTTCAGCTTTTTTAATAAAACAGCTTATATTTTTACAAGAAGTTTCATCAAAATTCAGCTTGAAGCAGAAGAAACACATGGAAGAAAATTCTTGAATGACAAATCTTCAATAATTCCACAACCTAGTTTTAGAATGAAATATTTGTTTACAGCTTAGGTAATCTGAAAGCTCATTGTTATGATAAGAAAGTTCAAAATCCATCCTGAGACAGGATGAAAATTCTTGAATGACAGCTATTCCATGGTTCCACAACCTGTTATTAGAATGAAATATTCATATACATATCAGCTAATTTAACATCTTATTTTTATAATAAGAAGGTTCAACATTCAGCCAGATGCAGGATGATAATTTTTAAATCACAGATTTTCCATAGTTTCACAACTTAATTTTTAGAATGAAATATCCATTTTCAGCTAAGCTAATTAAACAGCTTATTGTTATAAACTTACAGTAAGAAGGTTCAAAATTCAGCCTGAGGCAGGATTGCAATTCCTTAATGACAAATGATCTTTAATGGATCCACAACCTGTTTTCAGAATTAAAAATCCATTTATAGCTTAGCTAATTTATTAGTTCATTGTTTATCATAAGGTTCATCCGAATTAAGCCTGAAGCAGAATGACAATACACTCTAATATGATCATAGACTGACATACCCTGATTTTTGACAGAGTAAGAAACTCCTGTAAAAATGTATTTTCAAGAAAAAGCATATACAAACCTCTGAGAGGCAAAGCAAGTGTATAACTTCTTCCTCCATTGCCATTCACAGAACAGGCACTGAATCTATTGAAGTCTGCATAGATCCTACCCCAGAATGGCTCAGAGAATTCAACATCCACATTCATGGCCCCAGAGGTGCAGTTGAGAAAAGCAGAGGTCCTGTTTGTACGGATCACANAAAGATCAAAGAGAAGAGTGAAAATACAAGATGGTTTTGGCAGGTTGCAACTGGCCCAAAACTTTTGAGAAATTCAGTACAGTATTTATTATTCATATTTCAAGAGAAAATATAGCATAATATATGACATGAAATTATTTTTTAGCATTCTGGAGAAATCCTGCAGGTTACAATAAAATTCCACAATTGGCACTGACTTATCAGAAGAACATTTGCTAGAATGAATGAATGAACAGAACACTTTATTTGCCGCTTTTCAGCGTTCACAAGGCACAACCAAGACTCCCGCATCCAAACCCCCTCCCCACCCAACCCAACTCAACTCCCCCCAAAGACATTCAATCACTTTAAAGCATGAAACAA